AGTTTAAATAAGTTTCAAGGTGACAATGTGTCAACGCTGCGAAATCGGTTTAGTGCGTTTACATGTCGATAAGTGATTGGAGCGTTTGCAAAACATTTTATTTCGCATAATGCGTCTAAATTTATCAGAAAGCAACTTACGTGATATTTTAATAACAATGTTTATATGACTATTAACCATAATAAGAGAGTAATGACCATTTTACAATTTATATATCACATTAATATGAAACTGCAATAGAGCAATTGTTTGTGATAGAAACCTAGGCATTAGGTCGGGGAATTTTTATCGTGATGACGTGCACGCCACTTTGTTTGGCGTTGACTATAGTCAAATTTCCTTTGAAAATTCATTTGACAAACAGCTCGAACGGGAGTAATCGATCGGCTATAAAGCCCTGTATATAAATACAGGAAAAAAATGGAAATTAATTAATATTTTCAGAACCGCTTAGGATATTTCTCTGATATTTAGAACGTAGTGGAAGTTAATAAAGTTGCATATTATTCAATGCAAAAATAATTTTTAGCTTCAACAGTGGCGTGCGTACGGGTATTGACTTCGATATTTTTTAAGAAAAAATGGTACGCCAATGGTTTTTTGCCAAAAAAAAATTATTTTTGAATTTCCCGTTCAATTTAAAACAAATAATTTCTATTGAGTTGCTTACCTTCGATGCGCCATTTTTGAGTAAAAAAATAAAAACCGTTCTATTGTCTAACTTCAAAATTATTATTAATCTTATTGGAAATATTAAACACATTAGGGGTAATGAACAACAACAACTGACAATATAAACAAAACATTAAAACCAACGAAATGATTAGAAAAATTGTTGAAAATGGCCCCCTTCACTTAGTATGCATGCTTCCGCCCTCCTTCTCATGGAATTGGGCACTCGTTGAAATATCCCTGGAGTGTTTTTTATTCTATCACAAGCTGCAACTATTCTTTTTCTCAATTCCTCTACAGTGTTAATGAGACTTGTGTTCACTAGTGTCTTAAGATAGCCCCACAAAAAGAGATCTAAACTGTTGAGGTCCGGGGACTTTGGTGGCCATTCTTGGGGCCCACCGCGGCCAATCCAACGATTTGGATAAACAGTGTGTAAATAATTACGAACCGCTACAGGGAAATGCGCTGGTGCACCATCATGCATGTACCACATATTGCTCCTTATTACTAACGGAACATCATCAAGCAGTAAAGGCAACTCTGTTGTTGAAGAAAATTGAGGTAAGTCTGTCCATCAAGTCGTCCCGGCAAGAAGAATGGGCCAATAAAGTGGTTGCCAATAATTCCTGCCCATACGTTAACCGAAAATTGGTGTTGGAAATGGGTTTCGGTTACGGCGTAGGGATTTTCTTCTGCCCACAACTGCTTATTGTGGAAATTCTGAATGGCATTTCGAGAAAAATTAGCTTCATTCGTGAACAGAATCATTGATTCAAATTGCGGATTTTGTGTAATTTTTTGAAGATACCACTGACAAAAGGTCACACGCCTTGGAAAATCAATTCGAAGTAATGCCTGTACTCTTAAAATATGGTAAGGATATAACAAAAAATCCACTAAAATTCTCCAAACAATTTGATGGCTAATATTTAAGTGTCAACCGATCTTCCTCGTACTCGTTTCAGGATGTTCTTCGACTTCGTGCAGCACTGGTTCCTCAATTTCAGTTGTTCTCACACTTAGAGGTCTACCTTCAGATGTTCCTTTTCGGACAGAACCTGTTTCAACAAGACGACGATGAATATTTGAAAAGGTTCGACTATCTGGCAAAGCACGATCGGAATATCTCTGGTGATAAATCCGTCTGGCTTGCTCACCATTACCGTCAGCAAGGCCATATACGTAATGCATTTCCACCATTTCTGCATTTGAATAATTCATTATTAACCAGATTGAAAAAAATAAATAATGAAAAAGATGGCACGGCGAACAGAATAACAGAGACTTGTCAGATGTCAAAAGGCAGTGACATATTCCAGAGCAACTAGATATTTATTGCTAAATTGCATTCTTCCATAATTACATTAATTTTCTTGGACAATAGAGCGGTTTTTATTTTTTTACTCAGAAATGGCGCATCGCAGGAAAACAATCCAAGAAAGATCATTTGTTTTAAATTGAACGGGGAATCTAAAAATAATTTTTATTTGGCAAAAACCCATTGGTGTACCATTTTTTTCTTAAAAAATATCGATGTTAATACCCGTACGCACGCCACTGTTAAAGCTAAAAATTATTTTTGCATTGAAAAATATGCTACTTTATTAACTTTCACTACGTACTAAATATCTGTGAAATATCTGGAGCGGTTATGAAAATATTAATTAATTTCCATTTTTTTCCTAAAACTTCAACACCCCGAGTTTTTTGTAAGGAAACATTTTTGGACCATAGTTTATAAAGTAAACTAACATTATTGTTTCAAGTAGATTCATGCCCTTGAATATTCGCATATTATTAAGGAACACCCTGTATAAGGGAAAATTATTGTTATGCGCCTCTCCACTTTTTTACGTCACTTCTAAGCAACTTTGCTATCGCGTAAATATTGAACAAAACCGGTTCAATGGTGCCTGAGATATGTGATATTAAATGACATATTTGACGTGTTTAGATAACATATCCGTAAAAACTAAATTTAGAACTTTTTCATTTTCGGATCAGAAAATGTCTCGATCTATACTGCCTAACATTTTACTAAGTCTGGATACGGATACGGAACACACTGTATTTATACGCTTCTATCCTCGGTAAAGTATACGCACCTATTAGACATGTTTCACACATACATCCATAGATTTCCCCGTATATTTGCCCTTGAGGCCTAGTAGAAAGAAGTACTTTTGACACTCGTATTGAGCACAACAAAAATAGGATATAAACCTGTAGAGAAGTAGCTGCTACCACTGCACTGGCGGTTCACTCATCCTAATTCTGATCGTAACGTTTTGATTACCTGTCAGATAGATAGGGACTGGGGACTTTATGTAGCTATCTAACGGACTCGATCAATTTAATCAATTTGGTATATATATATATCGTAGTTAAAATTTTTTCTGTGTGAAGCACTTGTATGGAGAATATGGTATTTTATTTATAAACTCCGAACTTCCCTTCTTCACTCAATATCCCGTGGAAATTGTCTGTATGCGTATAAGATATTTACGCCAGTTATGGAGCTAGAAAATGTTATTTAGATGCAAGACTAAATCCCAGTTAGTAAAACCAAGGCTCTACTAGTGGTTCAATATTGCTGCTCAGTGGAGCAATATACATCATGCTTCACTTGAACTATGAACAGCAACCATATTAAAAAATATTTAAACCAGCAAAGCAACCTGAAGCAGCTTTAACAGAGGAAGATGAGTTAACGGAATTGGAAAGGCAACAGGTGGCTCTAGATGCCCTCGAAGAAGAAGCTAACTCACTCGAAGCAGATCTCGGTAAACGATTTGTCATGAAAAAATTTACTGAACCTTTTACTTTAAGATCTAACTGTGCTTCATTCTACATGGTAACAATAACAAATTAACATAATTTCAACGCTCAGTTAACAATATAATTAAATTTTGAGAACGTAAGAAGCAATGCAGCAATTTAATTAAACTATGGTCAAGATGTGCCGAAGTTGCCGAGCCTTTCTAGTTTCCTTAAGCGTAGTTCAAAATATGAAAGACAGTACAAGAGTTTTTTTGTTAAGGAGTTATTGTTATGTATCAAGTGCATTTAGAGAGAGGTTTAACCAGACTCATAAACCTCATTTGTACGGAGCAATCACATTTGTGCATCACAAGTGCAGTTGGAATAACAAAAAGAGAGACACCACAATATCCTCAGTCTTAACTAGCTCACTAGTTCACTATATTGTGGAAATACGCAATATGTGAGTTTAAGAATAATAATAGTGACTAACGCACAAAATAACAGAATACAGGACAGAAAAGTAATCTAAAACTCCTAAACGAAAGCTGAGCTGGCAGGAGAAAGAGGTGAAGTGGCTTTAGAATAATGATAATATATTTCCATTCGACTTGTATAAACAAGTATGGGAAAGTGTCATTAATAAATAAACATTACACTGAATGGGTTGAATATACATATAGATATGTATATCTACATATATACTTCCGCATCTTAAATTTACATAAATAAATCACGTCACGTTATTAAAAACATATAGGATATCTAACAATATTAGAGTACATAAACAGCACGACAAGAGCATGATAAAATGTAAATTGAAATTGATGGTTAAGGTACTCGTCAACAGAGTAAAAAGGATATAGCAACAAAGAAGTCATCGGAGCAAAAGCACTTGATACTATCTGTCGGAAAAGCAGACGCATTTAACTCAAGAGTCAAGATTGCTTCATTAACTTACTTTTATCGCTCCCTCCCAAATATATTTACCGTTAAGACTTACGAGTAGAAAGAAGCATTTTCAACACTCGTATCGAGCACAACAAAAACAGGTGATCAACCTATAAACAGGTAGCCGCTGCCACTGCACTGGCGGTTTACTCATCGCAGTTCTGATAGTAACGTTGTCATTGCTTGTCAGATAGATGGGGACTGGGAACTGATTTATGTAGCTATCTACTGGACTTGATTAATATAATTTATTTGTTATACATATTGTAGTTAACATTTTTTTCTGAATGAGCGGTACATATTCTTTTTATAAACTGGCGCAATGTGTTAGTGAATTAAAACTACAATTCTGTAAACCACTACTGACTGTGTGAGCTCCGAGCTTCCTTTCTTCACTCAGAATTATGTTGAGTCCTAGATAATACAAAAAATTAACCGGACAACATCCCGTGGGAATTGTCTACATAAGGTATAAGGTTAAAGTTGAGTGCAGCTAGAGAATGTTACCTAGATAAAACACTTGATCCCAGTTAGCTAAACCGTCTTCCAAAGCCCTACTAGTGCTTCACTAATGCTACTTAGTGGAACGGTATACATCATGCTTCATTTGAACTATGAACAGTGACATAAAAGATATTCAATCCGCAGAAAACACACCAGAGCAACCTGAAGATGCTTTAGCAGAGGAAGATGGTGAGTTAGCCGAACTGGAAAGGCAGCAGGCGGCGTTAGATGCCCTCGAAGCAGAAGCTAAGGCACTTGAAGCTGGTTTCGGTAAACGATTTATCATGAAAAACCTTACATTTAAGAGCTAGTTTTGCTTCGTACTGATACATGGTGACAATAACAAATTAACATCATCTTAAAGCTTAGTTAATAATATAATTAAATTGTGAGAACATGAGAAACAATGCAGTGCTTCAATTTGACTATGGAGCTTCCTAACATATGCCGAAGTTGTTGAGTCTGTCTAGTTTCCTTGAGCGTAACTCAAAATGTGACAGATAGTACAAGAGTTTCTTTGCTAAACAGTTATTGTAAGGTATCAAGTGCATTTAGAGAGAGGTTTAACCACGCATATTAGCCTAATTTGTCCAGCGCAACCACATTTGCAGAAATATACTATCTATGTATGTTTGCAGACGTCCGTATGTTTTAACAATATGGCAATTTACCAAGTAAAGTTAGAATAACATAAATAAAGACACTACCAGAACCCATTTGTAATAATTCAAATACTCACTAGTCATAACTAGTTCACTAATTCACTATATTGTGGCAATACACAGAATGTGCGTTTATGAATAATAATTCTGACTAACGCACAAAATAACAGAAGACAGAACAGCAAAGTAATCTAAAACTCCGAAAGGAAAGCTGAGCTGGCGGGAGAATAAGGTGAAGTGGCTTTAGAAGCCCTCGAAGCAAAAGCACTTGATACTACATTTTGGAAAGGCAGAGGCATTTATCTAAAGAGTAAACATTGTTTCATTAACACAATTTTATCGCTTCCTCACAAATACGTATATAGTTAGTCTTAGCTTGGAGAATAAATACATGAGAATTAAATATTTCCGTAAAAACTAAATTTATAACTTTTCCAGTATGAAAATGTCTTGGACTATACTGCCTATCATTTTACTATTCCGGATAAGAATACGGAACACCCTGTGTTTATACGCTTCTAACCCGGGTAAACTACACGCACCTTTAGACAAGTTTCACACATAGATTCCCCCGTATATTTGCGCTTAAGACTTATGAGCATAAAGAAGCGTTTTTGATTCTCATATCGAGCACAACAAAAACAGGAGATAAATCTGTAGACAGGTAGCCGCCGCCACTGCAATGGCGGTTCACTCATCACTATTCTGATCGTAACGTTTCCATTGCCTATCAGATAGATGGGGACTGGGGACTGATTTATATAGCTATCTAATAGACTTGATCGATTTAACTAATCTGTTATACATATCAAAGTTAACATTTTTTCTGAATGGGGCACTTATAGGGAACATATTCTTTTCATAATCTGACGCAATGTTTTTCACTACTAATTAATTATAACAGCAATCCTGTAAGCCACTACTGACTCTCTGAGCTCCGAACTTCCTTTCTCCACTCAGAATTATGTTTAGTCCAGATAATACAAAAAATGGTCGGTCCAATATTCCCTGAAAATTGTCTATATAAGGTATTCACGCCAGTTATGCAGCTAAAAAATGTTATTTAGATACAAGACTTGATCCCAAATAGCAAAAGCGTCTTCCAACGCCCTACATCATGCTTCACTGGAACTATGAACAGCGCCATAATAAAAAATATTTAAACCGCAGAAAACACAGCAGAGCAACCTGAAGCAGCTTTAACAGAAGAAGATGAATTAGCGGAATTGGAAAGGCAACAGGCGGCTTTAGATACCCTCGAAGAAGAAGCTAAGGCACTTGAAGCTGATCTCGGTAAACGATTTATAATGAAAAAACTTACTGAAGCTTATTTAAGAGCTAATTTTAATTCGTTCTACATGGTGGAAATAACAAATTAACATCTTTTTAACGCTCAGTTGTATATAATGAAATTGTGAGAACATAAGAAACATTGCAGCAATTTAATTTAACTATGGTCAAGGTGTGCCGATGTTGCCGAGTCTTTCTAGTTTCCTGGAACGTAATTCAAAATGTGAAAGACAGTACCAGAGTTTTTTTGTTAAGGAGTTATTGTTATGTATCAAGTGCATTTAGAGAGAGGTTTAACCAGACTCATAAACCTCATTTGTACGGAGCAGTCACTTTTTTTTTCACAAGTGCAGTTGGAATAACATAAATAGAGAAACCACCATATCATTTGTAGTAATTTAAGTCCTCAGCAGTCTAGCTTACTAACTCACTATATTGTGAAAATGCGCAATATGTGCGTCTATGAATAATAATTTTGTCTAACGCTCAAAATAATAGAAAACAGAACAGCATGGTAGTCCAAAACTCCTAAAGGAAAGCTGAACTGGCAGGAGAAGGAGGTGAAGTGGCTTTAGAAGCCCTCGGAGCAAAAGCTCTTGATACTACCTTTTTTTTATACTCCAACTACCACGAAGGCCTAAGGCCTAAACACCCATTGGGCACAGTGGGGCTATAGGGGGATACAGGGGAAAGGGGGAAGCCACACGGACTCTGGCGAGGGAACACGTGTGTATGCAACATGCACACATTCTGGCTCCGCCTACGAGATCCGCCGGGTGGTACCTCCACGTTCGACAGTCAGAGACCGTCTACCACCTACGACAATCATTATTTAACTGTTTGGGCATCTTTATATACCAAAATTGCCTTTATCTACTCGTAAAATGATTAATTTTGTTTTGAAACAAACAGTTGTTGATTTACAGTATGCGGGGCCAAAGGATTTATAAAGATTTGAAATGCCACAAATTGATTCAGTGTCAAAATTAATACAAATGTCAGTTCCCAGTTTAAATAAGTTTCAAGGTGACAATGTGTCAACGCTGCGAAATCGGTTTAGTGCGTTTACATGTCGATAAGTGATTGGAGCGTTTGCAAAACATTTTTAAATTTATCAGAAAGCAACTTACGTGATATTTTAATAACAATGTTTATATGACTATTAACCATAATAAGAGAGTAATGACCATTTTACAATTTATATATCACATTAATATGAAACTGCAATAGAGCAATTGTTTGTGATAGAAACCTAGGCATTAGGTCGGGGAATTTTTATCGTGATGACGTGCACGCCACTTTGTTTGGCGTTGACTATAGTCAAATTTCCTTTGAAAATTCATTTGACAAACAGCTCGAACGGGAGTAATCGATCGGCTATAAAGCCCTGTATATAAATACAGGAAAAAAAATGGAAATTAATTAATATTTTCAGAACCGCTTAGGATATTTCTCTGATATTTAGAACGTAGTGGAAGTTAATAAAGTTGCATATTATTCAATGCAAAAATAATTTTTAGCTTCAACAGTGGCGTGCGTACGGGTATTGACTTCGATATTTTTTAAGAAAAAATGGTACGCCAATGGTTTTTTGCCAAAAAAAAATTATTTTTGAATTTCCCGTTCAATTTAAAACAAATAATTTCTATAGAGTTGCTTACCTTCGATGCGCCATTTTTGAGTAAAAAAATAAAAACCGTTCTATTGTCTAACTTCAAAATTATTATTAATCTTATTGGAAATATTAAACACATTAGGGGTAATGAACAACAACAACTGACAATATAAACAAAACATTAAAACCAACGAAATGATTAGAAAAATTGTTGAAAATGGCCCCCTTCACTTAGTATGCATGCTTCCGCCCTCCTTCTCATGGAATTGGGCACTCGTTGTAAATATCCCTGGAGTGTTTTTTATTCTATCACAAGCTGCAACTATTCTTTTTCTCAATTCCTCTACAGTGTTAATGAGACTTGTGTTCACTAGTGTCTTAAGATAGCCCCACAAAAAGAGATCTAAACTGTTGAGGTCCGGGGACTTTGGTGGCCATTCTTGGGGCCCACCGCGGCCAATCCAACGATTTGGATAAACAGTGTGTAAATAATTACGAACCGCTACAGGGAAATGCGCTGGTGCACCATCATGCATGTACCACATATTGCTCCTTATTACTAACGGAACATCATCAAGCAGTAAAGGCAACTCTGTTGTTGAAGAAAATTGAGGTAAGTCTGTCCATCAAGTCGTCCCGGCAAGAAGAATGGGCCAATAAAGTGGTTGCCAATAATTCCTGCCCATACGTTAACCGAAAATTGGTGTTGGAAATGGGTTTCGGTTACGGCGTAATAATTTTCTTCTGCCCACAACTGCTTATTGTGGAAATTCTGAATGGCATTTCGAGAAAAATTAGCTTCATTCGTGAACAGAATCATTGATTCAAATTGTGGATTTTGTGTAATTTTTTGAAGATACCACTGACAAAAGGTCACACGCCTTGGAAAATCAATTCGAAGTAATGCCTGTACTCTTAAAATATGGTAAGGATATAACAAAAAATCCACTAAAATTCTCCAAACAATTTGATGGCTAATATTTAAGTGTCAACCGATCTTCCTCGTACTCGTTTCAGGATGTTCTTCGACTTCGTGCCGTACCTACTGGTTCCTCAATTTCAGGTGTTCTCACACTTACAGGTCTACCTTCAGATGTTCCTTTTCGGACAGAACCCGTTTCAACAAGACGACGATGAATATTAGAAAAGGTTCGACTACCTGGCAAAGCACGATCGGGATATCTCTGATGATAAATCTGTCTGGCTTGCTCACCATTACCGTCGGCAAAGCCATATACGTAATGCATTTCCGCCATGTTTGCATTTGAATAATTCACCATTATTAATAAGATTGTAAAAACTAAATAATGGAAAAGATGTCATAGCGAACAGATTTGAATAACACAGACTTGTCAGATGTCAAAAGCCAGTGATATATTCCAGAGCAACTAGATATTTATTGCTAAATTGTATTCTTCAATTATTACATTAACTTTCTCGGACATTAGAACGGTTTTTATTTTTTACTCAAAAATGGCGCATCGAAGGAAAACAATTCAAGAGAGATCATTTGTTTTAAATTTAACGGAAAATTCAAAAATAATTCTTATTTGGCAAAAAATCATTGACGTACCATTTTTTTCTTAAAAAATATCGAAGTCTTGCATTGAAAAATATAAAACTTAACTTTCTCTACGTACTAAATATCAGTGAAATATCTGAAAATATTTAATTAAATTCCATTTTTTTCCTAAAACTTCAACACCCCGAGTTTTTGTAAGGAAACAATTTTGGACCATAGTTTATAAAGCAAACTAACATTAATTTTTCATGTAGATTCACACCCTTAAATATTCGCATATCATCAGGAACACCATGTGTGGACGGAATATTACTCAGAAACAAATACATTTTGGGAAAATCTATTTATGGCATGTTATACACGACATTTCAGGGCACATTTCTAAATATTGGCAATTATACAGGGCGTTCCAATTTTGACCTACATATCAAAGCTGTGATTTTTCAAATGGAATGCCTCAAATTTTATTGCATATTTGGATAAACCAATTCAAAAGAAGAAGATTGATATAACATACTATGGGGTTTTGGTAATTAGCTACTGAGATGTAAGGTGTTTTGTCCAGAAAAACCGTACACTTCGGCAACCCCTCAATCCGCCACTTTGAAATTTGGAGTGCTGAATTTTGTATAAAAAAAACTTACACACGTCAGCTTTTATCTTATTTGTTACTTTTTCGAATTTTCATTTTTGCTCATACACGGTGGCCGAAAACGCGAATTGTATTTTTAAATTTCGAATCCATAACCCTGTATATTTGTGCAAGTTTGGATTGAATTTTTTAAGCTTTTTTTTTGGTATAATGTTTGATTCACATAAAATCACCAGATTTTGAGTTATTAAGCTTTCACTAGAACAACACACCAAAATTAAGGAAAAAAATCACATAATCCATGGAAACAAAAGACAAACAGTGGGTTAGTTCCATATTGCCACTAAGAGTACAGATTTGACGTAAAAACTAAAAACAATCAGAACAGTATAAATCAGAGTCAAGCGTAATAGAGAAAAACAACTATAACAACAACATAAACAAACAACTATCAATACTCAAGACTTAATCTACAAAAATGAGAAATGACCGTTGCACATCCCTCAGCATGTGTTCTCTTATGTTCAGAAAAGCATCCTTAATCCGTTCCTACATATCTTCCGGAGTAGATGGTGGATATCTATAAACCGCTTATCCATCGGTGTCATATCTGGTGATCTAGGAGTCCAACATATAGGCCCTATCACGACCGATCCAACGATTGTTACTCCAGGTGTCCAAATAGTTACGCGCCGTCATGTTGGAAGTACATATGCATCCGAGTTTGCAGGTTGACATCCTCCAAAAGCAAAGGCAAATGCTAGATCAAAAAATTCAAATATTCTGTACCTGTTAATCTGTTGTCGAAAAAGAAAGGCCCGATAACTTGTCTGCCAATAACTCCTCCCCAAACATTCAAGCTCCATTTATTTTGGAGATTTATTTGCCTAGCCCAGTAAGGGTTTTCCGTCGCATAATAGTTGACAACACCTATGCTGTTAAAAGTTGCCTCATCGCTAAAAAGAACCTTATCCCGGAAAGTAGTGTCACTCACTTTATTTAGCATTATTCTACTAAACTCCATTCGAGCTGCGAAATCCTGATGACGAAGGCCTTGATGCAAGCATAGGTGATATGGATGGTACCTATGCTTGAATAATCATATATCAGTTTCTGCTCCAATTTGCCGTGCACTTAAATGGGGATTTTCCTGCAACTTTAATAGAACCTCCAACTGATTCGCCTCATTGGTGACACTTGGATTATTTATACATTTTTTACTATATTCCATTGCTCCACTTGATTCAAAACATTCTCGTAGTGTAGAAAATGTTTCCGGCCTTGGATGTCGCATATTAGGGTACCGTTGCTTATAAATGCGAGATGATGAGTAACTATTTCTGTGGGCTTCGCCCAAAAC